TTAATGATTTTGATTACTGTTTAATTGACTCTCTAAGGTGCTCTGAGTAAACTATTATATCATCTGCAAAGTTTTTGTTCCACCTCATTGCCTAGGCTTATTCCTTCAACATCTTTTTTTTTTTGTCTTACTGATATATCTAGTATTTTTAGTATAATATTAAATAGTAATATGACATCCTTGCTTCAACCATGATTTTAGTGGAAAGGCTTTTGGTTTATCTCCATCATAGATAATGTTTGGTCCTGGGTTTAGTTAGATACTATTTATCATTTAAAGGAAATCTTTGCTTATTACTCTGCTTTCTAATTTTTTTTTTTAAAACAGGAATGGGTGTTGCAATTTTCCAGAACATTTTCTGCAGCAATCAAAATAGTTATTTTAATTTTTTTTGTTAATGTTTAATTATGCTTATAGTTTTCCTAATATTAAACCAACCCTGCATTCTTGGTATACATCTAGTCAATTCATAGTGTGTAATTAGTGTGATATATTGCTGTAATATCCTTGCTAGTATTTTATTTTAAACTTTTACATTAATATTCATTAGAGAAATTGGTCTCTAATTTTCTTTTTGATTCTTTCTGGTTTAGGTATCAAGACTATATTTGTGTCACAGAAGGTATTTGGTAGGATTCCTTCTTTACCTATTTTTCAAAATAGTTTGTATAGCATTGGAATTGTTTTTTAAATGTTTGAAAGAATTCACTTGTAGATCCATTTATTCCTGAGGTTATTTTCCCCGTAGGGAATTCATTTATGGTTTGTTCAATTTCATTTTCTAAGATGGAGTTATTTAAAGTATTTTATTTCCTATTCTGTTAATCTGAGCAATTGATATTTTTATAAATATTCATTCATTTATTAAGAGTATCCCTTTTATTGGCATATAGTTGGGCAAAACAGCTTCTAAAAGTTGCTTTGATTTCTTCTTCACTGGTTGTGAATTTATATTTTTTCATTTTTGATACTGAAAATTGATTTTTTTTAAAAAAGCAAATTAAATGGCTTATTTTGTTGTTACTGTCCCCCTCCCCTCCCCAAAAATAGCTCCTAATATGATTTAATTCAAATTTTTTTGGTTAGTCTTCCTTTTGATTTTTAGGATTTCTTTTCTATTTAATTAAGGGTTTTTAATTTGGTTTTCTAGGTTTTTTTTAGTTGCATGTCTAATTCATTCATCTGTTCTTTTTCTGTTTTACTGATACAAACATTTAAAGATATAAAATTTCCCCTAAATACTACTTTGGCTGTATCCAACAAATTTTAGTATGTTCCCTCATTGGTTTTGTTATATTTAATGACATTATTTACTGTTTCTATGTGAGAAGATTAAAACTGATCCTATATCATTTTCTTATTGATCCTATTTACAAGTAATTAATTTTGTCCTGTAATTGCTTTTGTCCTATAAGCGCTTAAATCATAGTTCTTCATCTCTGAACTTAGTTCAGAGTTCAGCTGGCCTGTAATGGGTTAAGTTTAAAAATCCAGATTACTTGCCTCAAGGAATTTTGCGAAACTTGGAAAATGTATGTGAGCAGAAAGGGAGCTGGACCTGATATTGTTACTCCACCAAGCTATCCTTCAAGGATGTCTGGTTTACTGTCCAAGAACCTGGGCCATTCTCTGACACGTGGACTCAAAGAGCTTCTAAGTCTCATGACAGAAGAGTCTGTTGCTAGCCCTCATGACCAAACTTCCAACTAATCATGTTGTTCCATGTGTTTCAGCTCCATAACTAATCATGTTGCCCTTAATTCCATGATGTCATCTACCCTCCTCTGTTCTTCGTTTCATGAGTGAGATCTGGCTCAGTTTACTCTTTTGTTAAAATGTGTCTGTGACATATGACTTGTTCTGTGACCCATCCATTCTTTAGGATTAATTATTTAGTTTCCAATTAGTTTTAAGTCTATGCTTCAAAGGTCCTTTGTTGAAAGTAATTCTAATTACATTATGGTAAAAATGTATTTAATATTTCTAGTTTTCTGCATTTGCTTGTGAAATTTTTGTGGTCTAATACAGGGTCAATTTTTGTGACGGTGCCATACATGGTGGAAAATAGGTATATTTCTTTCCATTCTCATTCAATATTCTCCAGAGGTCTATCATATCTAACTTTTCTAAAATTGTGTTCATTTCCTCAACTTCTTTCTTGTTTATTTTATGGTTAGATTTATCGAGGTCTGAGAGGGGGTAAATTGAAGTCCCCATTATAATTTTATCATCCATTTCCTCCTATAATTTATTCAACTTTTCCTTTAAGAATTTAGATGCAATGCTATCTGGTACATATATGTTCAGTATTGAAATGAATTCATTGTGTATGGTACCTTTTAGTAAAATGTAGTTTCCCTGTCTTTTTTAATTAGATCTATTTTTGCTTTTCTTTGTCTGAGATCATGATTGCCACCCCCACATTTTTTACTTCACCTGAAGCATAACAGATTCTGGAATATTTTTTGTGCTTAATATTCATCTAAGGCCCCAGCCCAGATATGGCTGCTCTTCTCTGCCCTGAATCAGTGTCCTGAAACTGGGTAATGAGTGACAAGAGATACCAACTCTGCCCCTAGCATTAGTTCAGGGATTGCCTGGGATCTCTTTCTGTCCCAGTGCTCCCTGCCCTAGTACTTTATCTCAGTTCCCTTTTCATTTCTAAGTGCTAGAATGTTTCTAGTTCACTTCAGGCTTATATGTTGGGCTAAACATTAGAACTTAGCCACAGTTCTGCTCCCATACTCACAGCCACACAAATAAGTTTCTAGAATTTGTTTAATGTTCAGTACTAAGCTATGGTTCAGAGCTCAGATGCAGCCAGTTCTCTCTGCCCTGTCCCAGAACTGGCTAACAGGTGACAAAGCTGCCAGATGGCACCCATTTCTACTCCCTGCACTAGTATAGGGGTTCCCTGGGATCTCCTTCTACCACGGTGATTCTGCCCTGGTGCTTTATCTCAGTTTCCTTTCAAATACAGGAATGCTCCTGGTCTGGCCACTGCTGCTACTGCAACCACACTGCAACCTCCTGGCCAGACCCCACCCTAGTGTCCATAAACTTCTCTATCTTCTTAAGCTGCCCTGGGTTGGAAAAATGACTCACTGTGACTTTTTCTTGGTTTTCCCAATCAAAATTTGGTCTAGTGTTTTGTTTTGCTTTATTTTAGGTTGTTATGAAGGCTGTTGTAAGAACTGAGTAAAAATGTTTCTTCTCATTCTGACATTGTGGCTCTACCTCCTCTCATCAATGTCCAAGGATTCAACAACTGAAAATATACACATACATACATATATAGGTCTGTATGTATGTATCCAGTCTCAATCTCTTCCCGAACTCCAATTCCACATCACTGCCTGTTGTAATCTTGAACTTGCTGTTTTGTAAGCATCTCAAATTTAACAAGCCCAAAGTCATTATTTTTTCCCCTAAAACCTTACTTCTTCCTAATTTCCCTATTTCTGTTCGGGGCACCATTATCCTTCCAGTCACCTAAGTTCACAACCTTGGAGTCATCTTTGACTCAACCCTCATATCCAGTCATTTTCTAAAGCTTGTCAGGTCTACCTCCACAGTATATTTTCTATCCTTCCGTCTCTACTTTACATGGTCACCACTCACTTTCAGGCCCACATCACCTCTAACCTTGACTATTGCAATAGTCTCCCAACTCATCTTCTTGCCTCAGGTCTCTGTTTCCTCTAATCCATCCTCCAAACAGCTACCAAATTTATCTATCTAGCACAGAGTTGATCATATCACTCCTCTGCTCAAGAAGCTTCAATGGCTCCTTCTTGCCTTTAGAATGATATACAATTTCCTCTGGCTTTTAAAGCCCTTCAAAATCTGGTGCCAGCTTACTCTCCGGGCTTACTACGTGTTATTTTCCCAAACACACTGTACATTCTAGTCAGACTGTTCTGCTAGCTGTCATTCTATTTCCTGTCTCCATGACTACCATAGATGGACTGGAATGTATTCCCTTTCTTCACCTGTATCCCATATAATCTTTACTTTTGTTTAAAGCTGGGTTTGTGCTACTCCCCCGCCCCCCCCCCCAAGACCTTCCTGATCTTCTCAGATGCTAGTGCCCTCCCCCAAGAAATTCCTGCTTTTATTTCATATTGAATTTTCCACATAGATGTTTCCATTCAGTAGAATGTAAGCACGTTCCTCTTACGCGTTCTAATTCTTCTTTACAACATGACTTATGTGAAAATATGTTTAATAGGAATGTACATGTAGGGCTTAGATCAGATTTCACGCAGTCTTGGGGAGGGAGGCGGGGGAAAACTTAAAACTCAAAACTCAAAAGCTTTTGGAAGTGATTGTTGAAAACTAAAAATAAATTAATTTTTAAAGAATTGAATGGAAGCACCTTAAAGGCAGGGCCTGTTTCAGTTTTGCCTTTGCATCCCTGGTGGCTAAACCAGGGCCTGGCACATAGCTGGCAGCTGACAAATGCCTGCTGAGTCCAATTAGAATACGGAGACGTCCAGGAAGCAGAGATGTGGTGGTAAGCGCACTGAATTTGGAGGTGGGAGGATGTAGGTTCCAGTCCTGCCACTCACCCTCTCGAGGCCTCAATTCCTTCCTCTGTAAAACCAGAGACTCGGACTAGATCCTCAATTCGTAACCTTTTCTCGTGTCACGGACCCCTCTAACAGTTTGGGGAAGTCCAGAGGCCCCTTCTCAGAATACGTTACATGCACAAAACGATTACAAGGAGGCTTTTGGGACAATCTGTGTATCATGAATAATGCAGGAAGGATTATCTGGACCCAACCCCGTCCCCTGCCTACCTCGGATCTCTCCAGTATAATTTGGTAATTACCACAAGTTCCTGCAGGCAATAGTGGCTAAACGACCAAAACCAATTCCCTAACCCCTTTCCTTGGTGTCTCTTTGCTTTCCCTATACAGGATATAGAGGGAGATGGGGAGGAGGGAGGAAGTGCCGCTTTACGGCGATTTTACGGCAGTTTCGCGACATGGCTTCGTTGCTTGCCGGCTACAAGCGGAAGTCGATCCATCTCGGCCGGGAGTTTCTTCTGCCTCCAGCGGCATTGACAGCATGAAGCAGAAACGTAAAGGTGCGAAAGGGAAAACAGTGTAGTCTGGAGCCTCCGCCTTTCTGTCCCTCCGGGCCCTGAGGCGCTGTGTTTGTGTCGCTCTTTCTATGACTTTGTCTGTGTGTGTGTAAGTCGCTTCCTCTCCCTCCTCCCTCGGCCGGACCACTTCCTCGATCCCTGCCTGTCAGTTATCGGGGGCTCCCGCGCCCCGAACTCGTGGCCTTCCCTTTGCTGTTCAGAGGCTGCAGCAGATCCCCATCGTCAAGTTTGTGACCTAGCTTCGAGCGATTTGAAAACAGTTTTGGCAGAGATGTAAAATCTGCGCCCGTGTGATTTAAGGGCTCTTAGGTTTGACCTTAATTTGCGTCAGAGGATAGGGTGGTCTCAGCGTGTACAGCATCTCATTTCGATGACATCATATCTGTAGACGGTCATCTGGTAAAGCTGCTGATCGGTTAACTTCTCTTATACTCGCCTCTGATGAGAACACTGCACTCCGGGCCTCCCTCCGCGCCTTCCTCTTGAGAGGAGAGTGACCCTGATTGTGTGTTAGACAGAAGGAGGGTCCCCACGCCAGAGTTTTAGAAGGAAACCTCTAAGCACTAGGAGTGCAGGTGAAGAATCCATACCAGGCTTCTGTCCTGCCAGTTCAGTGTCTGGCAGTAAATACAGGTTGTCCCAAAATAGAATTTTAAAGCTATTAAGCCTTTTAAATTGTGATAGCTCAAAACTAAACCTTTTGGGACATCTTGTATTTCATTGGACTCTTTCCTTTTCCACAAGGAAGACCTGGAGGAAAAAAAAAATCTGTTTTGGTTTAGTTCTTCTTTCAACAGAAAATGTGTTGAACTAAGAAGAGTTAGGAGACTGGATTCCATTTCTGGTTCATTTACAAGTTAACTGCATGACTTGGACAACTCATAATCTTGCTGTGTCAGTTTCCTGATTTGTGAAATGAGAATGGTGCTTTTATCTTTCCTAAGGTTATTTTAAGGATCAAAATGTGAACGTATTTCAAAAGGCATACAATAATCATTATTTTAAATGGTCTGTATTAGTGATTTTGTTGTTATTCACTCGTTCCAGTTGTGTCTGACTCTTTGTGACCTCATTTGAGGTTTTCTTGGCAAAGATAGTGGAATGGTTTGCCATTTCCTTCTCCAGTTCATTTTACAAATGAGGAAACTGAGTCAGAATTAGGTGACTTGCCCAGGGTCACACAAGTGTCTGAAGTTGGATTTGAACTCAGGTCTTCCTAACTCCAGATCCACTGTTCTATCCACTGTAGCACCCAACTGCCCCAGTGGTGCTGATATCTGCCTTCATTTTTACATTAGAGGGCTTATCTCTTCCTACTAAGAATTTCACTCATGAAATTTTTTCAGTTGGGTCCGTTAACTAACTACAGATATCACAAGGCACTTCCCCATGAGCAAATCTTTACCTCTGCCAACCATCCCAACCTACCCCAGCTTCCCTCAAGACTCAGCTCAGGTGTTGCTTCCTGTAGGCTTCAAGCCATTCCTTATCTCCCCAGTTGGTATTTTCTCCTTCTTCAAGTTCTCTTGTATTTACTTGTATTTGTGGATGTAAACTTCACAGGAACCAATATTGGTGATTTTTTCTTCGTATCCCATACCAAGCACCATACTTTGCAAGTAGGGCTTAGTAAATATCTGTCAAATTGTATTTGTGACCACTTGAAAAGCAAAATAATAGATAACTTTTATATTGTGTTTAAAGGTTTGCAAAGTGTTTTTTTTTCATGTTAATTCAGTGCTCACAACAGCCCTAAGAAGTAGGTACTATTATTGTCCCCACTTTTTAGATGAGGAAATTAAGTCAGCTAGAGGTTAAGTGACTTGCCCAGGGTTATACAGCTAGTAAATGCCTGAGACAAGATTTGAACTCAAATGTTCTTTACATCAAGCACCGTCGATCTGTTCACTGGGCCACCTAGCTACATTGTGTAGAGTAGTATAAGAAAGGGGTGGCGGGGATGTTCCAGTTATTTGGGGGGGAGGAGCTTCAATTACACCTATTTCTTTCCTGTGGGTAAAAAACTTTTTGAGAGCACCCTCTACAGATTTATGCCCTTTTCTTTCACTTTTTGTTCCTTTTCCTCTTTAGTTGAGGAAGAAGAAGAGAATCTCCTGTTAATATTATCACAGAATTTCAGAGTGGAGAGTAGTGTTAGCAGGCATTTATTCCAACCCTGCCTAAAAAAGAATCCCAACTACTACACTACTGACAAGTGATCAACCAGGCTTTGCTCAGAAACCATCTAGTAACAGAGAACTCACTACCTCCAGAGGTGGCCTATTCTATTTCTAAATACCTCTAATTGTTAGGAAATAGGAAATTTTTCTTCTTTCACCCATAAGTTTGCCTTTAAAACTTCTTCCCTTGCTTTTAGGGTTTTTTTTAAATTTTTTTTTTTTAAGAAGTGTTTTTAAAACTTTGGGTTACAAATTTTCTCCCTTCCTCTCTCCCCACCCACCCTCATTGAAAAGCCAGGCATCTCAATACAGGTTATAGATGTGTAGTCATGCAAAACACTTCCATAGTAGTCCTGTTGTGAAAAACTAAGTATATTTCCCTTCATCCTATCCTACCCCCCATTTATTCTATTCTCTCTTTTGACCCTTTCCCTCCTCAGAAGTGTTTGCTTTTGATTATCCCCTCCCTCAATCTGCCCTCCCCTCTATCAAACCCCTGCTCTCTTGTCCCCTTCCCCTCTTATTTTCCTGTAGAGTACGATAGATTTCCATATCCCATTGTGTATGTTATTCCCTCCTTAAGCCAAATCCTATGAGAATAAGATTCACTCATTCTCTCTCACCTTCCCCCATTTCCCCTCCTTTTCTTGTCTGTTTCATGTGAGATATTTTACCTCATTCTACTTCTCCCTTTCTCCTTCTCCCAGTATAGTCTTCTCCCACCCCTTAATTTTATTTTCCAGATATCACCCCTTCATCTTCAACTCACCCTGTGTCCTCTGTCTATCTATCTATACAAACATATAATTTTTTCCCTCCTACTACCCTAATACTGACAAAAGATTCATGAGTTACAAGTATCATCTTTCCCTGCAGGAATGTAAACAGTTCAACCTTAATAAGTCTCTTACGATTTTTCTTTCCTGTTTACCTCTTCCATGTTTCACTTGAGTCTTGTGTTTGAAGGTCAGACTTTCTATTCAGCTCTGGTCTTTTCCAGAGGAATGCTTGAAAGTCCTCTATTTCATTGAATGACCATTTTTTACCCTGAAGGATTATACTCAATTTTGCTGGGTAGGTGATTCTAGGTTGTAGTCCTAATTCCTTTGCCCTCTGGAATATCATACTCCATGCCCACCAGACCCTTAATGTAGAAGCTGCTAAATCTTGTGTTATCCTGATTGTGTTTCCATAATACTTGAATTGTTTCCTTCTGGCTGCTTGCAATATCTTCTCCTTGACCTGGGAATTCTGGAATTTGGCTATAACATTCCTAGGAGTTTTCCTTTGGGGATCTCTTTCAGGAGGTGATTGGTGGATTCTTTCAATTTCTATTTTGCCCTCTGGTTCTAAAATATCAGGGCAGTTTTCCTTGATAATTTCTTGAAAGATGATGTCTAGGCTCTTTTTTTTGATCATGGCTTTCAGATAGTCCAATAATTTTTAATTTCTCTCTCCTGGATCTGTTTTCCAGGTCAGTTGTTTTTCCAGTGAGAAATTTCACATTCTCTTCTATTTTTTCATTCCTTTTGATTAGTGTTACAGTGCCTTGATTTCTCAAATTGTCCCTAGTTTCCAATTTCTCCATTCTAATTTTTAAGGAAGTATTTTCTTCAGTAAGCTTTTGGACTTCCTTTTCCATTTGGCTAAGTTTGCTTTTAAGGGCATTCTTCTCCTCATTGGCTTTTTGGACCTCTTTTGCCATTTGGGTTAGGCTATTTTTTAAGGTGTTATTTTCTTCAGTATTTTTTTTGGGTCTCCTTTAGCATCACTCTCAGTTTTTCCTCTATTTCTCTTACTTGCGTCTCAAAATCCTTTTTGAGCTCTTCCATGGCCTGGGACCAATTCATATTTTTCTTGGAGGCTTTGGATGTAGGAGCTTTGACTTTGTTGTCTTCTTCTGGTTGTGTGTTTTGATCTTTTTTGTCACCAAAATAAGATAATATAGTTTGACTCTTTTTGCCCTGCTTGCTCACTATCCCAGGCAATTATTTGAGTTATAAACTCTTTGTTAAGGTAGGAGTCTGTTTCCAGTGTGGAGAATGTACTGTCCCAAGCTTCGGGGTTTTGTTCAGTGTTCAGAGATGCTTCTAGGGACCTGTAAATTTTCAGTTCTTCCAAGGTGCTGTGGTCAAGGGCGAGGTGTTTACTCCTTTCCTGGTCTGTGCTCTGGTCTATGAGCACTCTTTTCTGTCTTGGAACTGTGAGGAGGGTTTCCTCTCCACAGCCACTACGTGCTCCACCAGGCCAACACTCCTCCTCGTCCCAGGACCGCCACCCAGAACTGTGACCCAGATTCAAGTGCGGGCAAGGCAAGAGAATCCTGCACCAGCAGAGAGATTCCTACAATCCCACTCTGATCAGCCACTCAATTCCCCCTCAGTTTGTGGGCCGAAAGCTCAGGAGGCAGCTGCTGCCCCAGAGGCAGCACTCGGAACTTGTGACTGAGTCCGAGCTTCTCTTTCACCGCAGACACAGACTTTTCCCACTGAGCTTCCAAGTTGTCTTTGGCGTTCCTGGGTTGAGAAGTCTGGAAACCACCACAGCTGCCTGTGATTCACTCCTCTGAGGCCTGCTCTAGGGTCGCTGCTGCAGCCTACGCGCCCACACCGCACTGCGCAGCATGCTATACCTTTCTGATCAACCATCCAGGCTGTTTTGGGCTGGAAATTTGTTTCACTCTGTCTTTTTGTGGTTCTACTGCTTTAGAATTTGTTTAGAGCCATTTTTTTATAGGTATTTGGAGGGGTTTGGGGGAGAGCTCTAGCAAGTCACTGCTTTTACTCCACTATCTTGGCTCTGCCCCCTCCTTAACATCCCTTGCTTTTAGTTTTGCTCTAAGACCAGACAAAACAGCCATGATCCTTCTTCCACATGACAGCTTTTCAGACATTTAAAAACACTATATTGTGTCCCTTCTCAGTCTTCTCTTCTCCAGACTAAACATTCCTAGTTCCCTCCACCAACCCTCATACAATATTAACTCTTCACCATCTTGATAACATCTTGGACTCAATCCATCTTATACTAACTACCTGAAGTCTGTGTGTGTATATACATATTCATATCTTAACCTAATAGCACTGCCTTTGCTGCCATAAGATGGATCTTTTCTTTATGTTGTCTCTGCTCTTCATGGTTACTTCCATCCTGTGAATGAATACCTTACTTAAAATATAGCTGCTAAAATACTATATAGTCATTTCTCACTTAAACTGTAGATAAAATCTGCTTCATTTTTATTTAAATGTTAATATAATCAGAATAGTGGGATGGCTAAGGTTAAAAGTCTTGCTTGAGTTTTTAATTTTGCAGGGTTAGATCAATAATCATAGAAAAGCTACTAAACTATAATATGCATAAGCTTTTAAAAGTTTGTAAATATAATATTCTGTTTTTGAATATTGATTTTTTTTAGGAGATCTCAGCCCTGCTGAGTTGATGATACTGACCATAGGTGATGTTATTAAACAACTGATTGAAGCACATGAACAGGGGAAAGATATTGATCTAAATAAGTAAGTGATGCCCACTCATTTATTTATTTATTTATTCATTCATCCATTTATTTATTTATTCTCTTTATTATTTATTTATTTATTTTTGGAAAATATTTTATTTTATATTATATATTATATATATTTTATTTTTTAAATATTTAATTATTAATTATTTATTTAAATAAAAAAACTCATTTGTTGATATTGCAGAACTGTTCATGTAATTTTCTAAAACTTCTGACTTTGTCATATGTCATACTTCAGTCTTGGAAATTTAGGTTTCCTGATTGCCTCATTCTCAATCCCAAAAACTATCTATCTGTACTCTATTTTTTTTCTTCCATTCTGTCCTAGGAGAAAAAGTGATCTTCCTTTCTGAGATTAACTTTTCATACTTATAATCTTATCCCTTTCCTCCTCTGGGACCTGGAGGTAGCTATTATTCCCACTCTGACATTTTCAGCTTTTTCACTGGGTCTTTCCCTGGTACCAGTTCTTCCTCCCCTCCCACTATCCTACTTGCATAATAAATATTTCTTGACTAATATGGCAGTATACTTTTTTTGGTTCTTTAGCAGCTGCCCTCTAAATATGAACATACCTATACTTTTTCTCTGTGTATTATCTACTTTGGACATCTTGTCTGTAGCCATTAGCTCATTGTGCAAGATTGAAATTTTACATCTCTCCTGAGTTTTTGTTTCACATTTTCAGCTATCTTCTGGGTATTACTATTTGTATATATGGTCATTCCTTGAAACTCCAAAATCATACTTCTTATTTCTTCCGCTAGAGACAGCTTTACCTACCTCTCCTACTAGACTTTACTCTTTCTTTCAGTGGTGCCACCATTCACCTACTTATAATCTTAGTGTTCATTTTGATTCTTCCCTTGTGAATATCACTCCACGTATCCAATTAGTTATTGTGTCCTGTTGTTTGTTCCTTTACTGACTAGAATCAGCAGTCTACTTTCTTTTTTTGAAGGCCCAGACTATGCCTACACCCTTCATAAATCTTTCAACCACCATTCCAAACTATAATAATCTCCTTCATCCAAACTCTGATATAGTAGTTGCTATTTGGACCACTTTAGGAGCTTACTTTATGTTTTGTTATTTTATTTCCTTATTTATCTTTGAATAAATGAATATCTGTGTCTTATGCCTCTTTGTATCCCCCAGCAATTAACACACTATTTTTCATGATAAATGCTCAATATGTTTGTTGATGGTGATAAAGCCCCAACTATCCCTGGTCCAGTAAAAAGTATAATTGCCTTCTCATTTGTAGAGTACTTTGGATTTATGGCCTCATTGATGTGGATCCTCCATCCAGAGGTACAAATGCAACCCATCTATATTCATTCTGTGCTACCCGTGCTCTTATTCTCCCATGAAGCCTCAGCAAAGGGTCCATTGAGTGCATCCAGGCCCCTTTTCTGGGTCTCTCTACACTGGGCAGACGCTAGTGGAATTACATCCATTAGCTCATCTCTTCCTCTTACGATATGAATAGCTGTCTCTCTCTCTCTCTTTTCTTTTTTTAAAATAAATTTCTCTAGTGACATCCACATTACCTCTTCAAGGGAACTCTTCATTGACAAATGTACGCCTATTCATACCTGCTTTGTGCATATCCTTTGCCCTTTGGGTTCTCTGGAACTTAATTCTTCAGAGACTATCATGTTTCTTTACTCTTACTTATACGGTATCACTGAAACAGTCTTAATGTTAAAGAGAAGCCTTTATTTCAGGAAGAAGCTTGAGGTCATTGAAAGCAATTTGCAGTTACCCAGTAGTTACCTCGCCCACTCCTTACCTGTTCAAACCGGTTTACGCAAACCCTTGATTCCATTCTATCCCTTTTTCTTCATCAGATTGCTCCTTCTCTGATCCCCTCTTTCTCATTAGTATTCAATCTATCCTTATCTACTGGCTGCTTCCCAGCTGTCTGCTGATATGCTCCTGCCTCCCCCATCCTTAAATTCTTATTTGATTTGACCATTCCCACTAGCTATTGTACCCTATACCTGCTCCCTTTTATGGCTAAATTCCTTGAGGGAGCCATCTCTCTACACCTGGTGACTCCACTTCCTTTCCTCTCACTCTCTTCTAAACTCTTGGCAGTCTGACTTCTGACTTCATCATTCAACTGAAACTGTTCTCTCCAAAGTTGCTAATGATCTCTTAATTGCCAAATCTAATGGCCATTTCTCAGGCCTCATCCTTCTTGATCTTTCTGTAACCTTTGATGCTGTCAGCTCTTAAGTAATCTCTTCTCTCTAAGTTTTCATGGCACTGCTTTCTCCTGGTTCTCTTACCTGTCTAATAGCTCCTCAGTGTCCTTTGCCGGGTCTTCCTCTAGCTCATACCCAGCAGCTGTGGGTAACCTCTAAGGCTCTCTCCTGGGCCTTCTTTTCTTTTCCCCCTGTACTAGCTCATTTGTTGATCTCATCAGCTCCAGTAGGTTCAGTCTTCATCTCTATGTGGATGATTTGCAGATGTGTTTATCTGGCCTTAACTACTCTCCTGTCTTCCAGTCTCACATCACCAACTGCCTATTGGATATCTCAAACTAGAGGTTCCGAAGACATCTTAAATTCAGCATGTCCCAAACAGAACTTAGTGTCTTTTCTCCCTAAACTATCTCCTTTTCCCAGTTTCCCTCTTACTGGTCAAGGGCACTACTATCCTTCTGGTCACCCAAACTCACAATCTCATCACTGTCATCGTTGGCAACTCACTCACATGCACCCCACATATCCAATCAGTTGCCAGGTCTTGTTTTTATTTTCTTTTTTGTAGAGTGGGGAGTGGGGAGTGGGTGGAGGCAGTAAAGGTTAAGTGATTTGCCTGGGGTCATGCAGCTAGTAAGTGTCTGAGGCTGGATTTGAACTGAGGTCCTTGTGACTCCAGGGCCTGGTTTTTCTTTCACAACCTCTCTCATATAAATCCCTCTCACATAGCTGCCACCCTGATGCGGGACCTTATCACCACACACCTGGACTGGACTTTTGGAGTAGCCTCTTGGTTGGTCTTCTTGCCTCAGGTCTCTCCCCACTCTATTCAGCTGCCAACGTGATCTTTTTAAAGTGCAGTTCTAACAGTGTCACACTCCCTACTCAGTAAATTCCAGTGGCTCCCTATTTCTTCCAGAATTAGGTAGAGAATCCTCTGTTTAGCTTTTTGAACCCTGGCTTCTTCTTGCATTTCCATTCTTCTTAAACTTTACTCCCCTCCCTATACTCCATGACCCAGGGACACCAGATTCTCTTACACATGGCACTCCACCTTCTATCTTCTTGCCTTTGCACAGGCTGTCCAGTTGTCTATCCTCACCTCTGCTTTTTGGCTTCCCTGGCTTCCTTCAAGAAGAAGCTCACTTAGAACTTTGCCTTTCCCCCTCTCCCTCCCCCTTTCACCACTAGTGCCTTTTCTTCTAGATTACCTCCCACTTACTGTTTTATGTCCGTACTTGTTAGTATATAAACCCATTTGTTTGTGGGTTGTCTCCCCTATTAGAATGTGAACTCCTTGAGGGCATGGATCATGTTTTTGCCTTTCTTTCATTCCCCAGTGCTTAACATAGTCCCTGGAACGTACAGTTATCCCTTCCACATCGCCACTTTCCCCATCTTGGTTTCCGTATATCAAGGGTTGGCATAAGAAATTAAATGGGAATTTTTGAAGAGTTTTGCAAGAGCTATAGATGACATGTGAAGGCCAGAAGATGACACAGAAAAACTTTAGAAACTCAGAAATGAATAAAATACAAGCATAGTATTGTATAGTATCAACATATTTTATCTTTTAATACTATAATAATTCAGACTTCTTCTCTGATATGAAGGGAGGGCCAAGAATATTCCAGATCATGGGGGCACCATATCCCTAACCCCTGCAATGTAGAAGGGATAACTGTAGTGAGTTTTTAGTAAATACTTGTGGTCCTAGAATTGAATTTGTATAGGAGACATTAAAAATGTCTGTTGTTATTAGCTCTCATTCCTTTATTCCTACTGTCCAGAAACAATATTTTGTCTATAGTTCCTGTGGAATTAGAGCAAAAGTTGTAGGCATCTGGAATTAGTTTCATAATTGTTGGTGCCTTCTGCAGTAGTAAGACTTACTGGTATCCTAAGGCCTAAGAAAGGCAACATTCAGGAATGTTAACTCCAGTTCTCTAAACATTGAGCAATTGAAGCTATTATTGCCACTTGCTAGGTGGAAAGGGGTGCATGTAACTAATAAGCATAGTCTTGCCTACGAGCGCCTTAATTGTTTTGGTCGTCTGTCTGGGAATAAGAATAATCCTTTTAATGTCAAATGATTCTTTTTCAGAGTGAAAACCAGAACAGCTGCTAAGTATGGCCTTTCAGCCCAGCCTCGACTGGTGGATATCATTGCTGCAGTACCACCTCAGTATCGTAAAATCTTGGTGCCCAAGTTAAAAGCAAAGCCAATCAGAACTGCCAGTGGAGTAAGCAATAGCTGTTTTGTTTTTTGTTTTTTTTTGCTTAGGCAGTTGGGGTTAAGTGACTTGCCCAAGGTCACAAAGCTAGTAAGTGTCAAGTGTTTGGTCTGAGGCTGGATTTGAACTCAGGTCCTCCTGACTTCAGGGCCAGTGCTCTATTCACTGCACCACCTAGCTGCCCCTAAGCAATAGCTTTTTAAGCTAGTAGTTAGGGATCTGAGCTTGATTGTTTTTAAATTTTGGTACACATGCTGCTCCTATTGTAAATTGTTTTATTTCTAGGAAGATAAGGCGTATACACACACCAAAAAAAAACCGCCAGCTATCCATACAGAGAACATAATGTCAAATGAGTGGTATAGAAAGTGAGTACTGTAGATGTTCAGAGGTGGGAGAGACAAGTTGAGGCAGATGGGAAAGACTTGATGCGAGCTGTGAAGGAGGAATAAACTTTCGATGGGCAAAGAAGAGAGGATTAGGGAAATATTGTAAGTAAAGGTGGGGAATGTAAAAAGTACTGCAATCCCACCTCAGTATCATACAATCTTGGTGCCCAAACATTAAGTTTCTACTGTGTGCCAGGCACTGTGATGAGCAGTGGGAATACAAAGAAAGGCATCTCTGCCCCCAAGGAACTCGTAATCTAATGGGGGAAGACAACATATAAAAAGCTGAGAAGTGGGGTGAGGAGGGTACCTAGCATGAGGGGCATGATGAGAACCTGCAGCTGGGTGGGTAATGATGAGTTAGCTGCACTGGTCCGCCTCCTTAAATGAAGGACCTGGAAGGAGCTCTCCTATCAGAGAGAGGGAGAAAGGAAGGGGTCCCCAGGCCAAGGGGTACTAAGGATGTATGAGCTTCAGAATTGATTCAGTGCTGCAGGAAGATGAGTTGCTGGAGACAAGGAGGAAATCTAGTTTAGCCTGGTGGGAAATGATGACAGTAATGGGAAAGTTTAGAAGAAGGGCGGGTTGGGGGACAGAGGTAATGTGTTCTGTTTTAAAAATGTTGAATTCCTAAAACCTGGAATGCACTCTTCTCTCATCTCTGCCTTTCAGAATCCTTGTGTAGATAAGACTTAGTTCAGTGTGACTACTTTTATAAACTTCCCATTTCATCATCTTTACATTTTGCGGTAGCTCTTTGATTTCTCCTTTGTCCCCTTTGCCCTCTTTCTCTTGTTTTATGCTCATCTGAGTTAGGGTTATATATGCGTTTAATGCAGATTTGTAGTTTTGGATTTGCAGACTATAATTCTATAATTCTATGACTTAAAAGTCATTGAGAACATGTAACTTGCTTAGGGAATTGAGGTAAAAAAGAAAATATTAGCTGATGCTTTTGTAAAATTGTTTTGCATCTGTACTTGTTATACTCTGGAGCCATTGCACTTCAGAGATATAAATGGAACTAGAGAAGAGCCACCTAAAACAGTTTTGGGAGGGAGAAAGGGGGTGCCATGTGAGGATAGTCTGAGAAAATTAGGGCAATATGTGGACTACTTGTTGTTGTGGAGGTGGGGTAGAAGAGTGATTTCGGTTTATTATTTTTTACAAATCTTCCCATTACAGATTGCTGTTGTGGCTGTGATGTGCAAGCCCCACAGATGTCCACATATTAATTTTACAGGAAATATATGTGTGTAAGTATGATGGTTCTAATTAGTGATGTGTATTTTCTTTTATCAATAAGAGTAGATGCTCATTAATTTCCAAATTGGTTTTAATTCTGGTAACTTAAACTTAGGTTTCATTAGAAACAAAAATTACAATTCAGTTCTTTAAAACAGCCTGTACATGACTTATAAAATGCTCCCATTTTTTTAAAAAATGAGTTTTCAGTATGCTTCGGGCTATTTTGCATTTAGTGACTATTGTCATAATATTCACTGAAGAACATGTAATGAAATCAGAAGACAAAAGAACACATATTTGTCCTATTAACTGGATAAATCAAACCTGAAAATATGTATAGTCTCTGCTGTGAGTGTTGGAAAATTAAGGAAAATTAAGGGCCAGAAAAAGGAATTGTGATAAGGAAAGAATTCTATAGAAATACTTCACATTTGTCTCTTTAGACTTTAATTAAAGATAGTTAGCGGGAGCATATGGCTGATCTCAGTTGGTAAGAAGGGGAAGAGGTATTCCTGTATATATTTAAGACCAAACCTTCACCCCTGAGGGCTTAATAGCACCCTGAGGAAAATATTCACAATTTATTGCCATTAAAAATGCCTAAAAATATGATCCATTAGTGATTGTGTCCTTTAAAAGTGCAAGTAATGTTATTCTTTTATGCATTTCCATATCTTTGTTGGTTTCAAAACATTCACTGAAGTGGGTGCTGAGTTAGACATTTCTCTTCGTAATTCTGTGATGGAACTCTTTGATTTCAGCAGCATGGAGAATATAGAAACTTGGTTATTATTTTAGCTCTTGAAATAAGATTTGTAAATGGCATTTTAATCTGTTTTTCATTTTGACAGTTACTGTCCTGGTGGACCTGACTCAGATTTTGAGTATTCAACCCAATCTTATACTGGATATGAGGTAAAATATCTTGGAGTTACTTTATTTATCATAATAAAATGCTTTGTCAGACTTTGTATTCAATGTAGTGGCCCACAAGAATTTTTTTTTAAAGTTAAGTGAAGGAAAATCCATCCCCAAATGGAAAAAGCCTACGTTCCTTAGTAAATGATATATAGGACCATTCAGTGCTGGGAAAAAGATTTAGTGCTCTGATTGGGCAGAATATTATTGTTCTCTTTTTGAAAGGGAAATAATTACTTTAGAAGCTTAATTGTAGAAAATACAAGTCTAAAATTACGAGTACTTAGAAATTTTTCCTCACTTTGTAAAGATGAACATAATTTGCTGTTTGCTTCTTATGGCCAGTGGGAACAGAGTGGAAATAACTTCTTTAACAGAAGTTATAGTGTCTGTACTTTGAGTTACTCTTGATTGTATACAGTTCTATTTTCCACAAGAGTCTTTTCCTTTGCTGCTTTGGATTTTTTACTGTATTCAACGTATTGTTCATTTTCTTCATTATTTCCTTGTTCTTTTTTTCATGCTATTTTAAAATTTATTCTTAAAGTGATTTTTTAAAAAACTCATGCAGTATAGCAGGGTATTTTAAAATTTAAGTTGGTGATAATTATGCTAACAATCTCCATTTTCTTCAAAGCAGTCATAATTTTGGGTAAAAAAGGAAAATTCCATTCCAACTTTTTCCTCTAGATTAATGCCTCTAAGCTATCCCCTACCTCTTTATTTATTGTCCTTTGTGTCCTATTGCCTTGGGCTACCTCTCCTTCTTCCTCTTCATGCTATTTACTACCTGTTCCTTTTATGAAGAGTAGGATTGTTAAGTAAACTGATCCCATCTCTGGCTAGGTAGAATATTTAAAGGAGAGGGAAGATGTAGATTGGGTTGACTGTGAGGATGTTTCTGTGTGTGTTTATAATATAGATATTTCTTAAGAGTACTGGGATGAAATAAAATGCTTTCAGGGGGTATCTTTTAGAAACTGAGCTAGTGAATTTTTTTTTTTTTGCAAAGAGATGAACTCTAAAAAGCTATATTAAAATCTGTTTTATCTCATTTCATTATTACTTAGATTTAGTGTGTAGTGTCAGGTGCTTTATAAAAACAAGTTAGATATTAATATCTTGTGGTCATTTCATTGGCCAGCTTTGCTACCTCTTCTTATTTTCTTCCAATCATCTTCTCCCTCTTTCACTTGTATACTACTTATCTTCAGCTTTCAAAACACTTGTATGTTCTGTTCAACTCTCCACATACTGTTTTGGACTGTTAAATCTGTGTGTGGTGTAAGAATTGGGTCACACTAGGGAGTACTAAGAGGCAGCTTTGTATAATGGAAGGAGTGCTGGACTGTGTATCCAGAGACATGGGTTCTAGTCCCAGTCAGTCTGACCAAAGAGTTTTAGTCTTTGGGGCTTCAGTTGCTTTCAGCTATTCAAATGAGAGGATCAGCAAAGGGTATGAACGGTTTTCAGATGAGGTAATCAAAACTATCTATGGCCATATGAAAAAATGCTCTGACTCACTCTTGATTGGAGAAATGCAAATTGAAACAATTCCGAGGTACTACCTCATACATGTTGGATTGGCTAATAGGACAGAGGAGGAAAGTGAGAAATGTTGGCAGGGATGTGGGAAAAGTGAGACATTAGTGCACTGTTGGTGGAGTTGTGAACCGATTCAACCATTCTTTAGAGTAATTTTGGAACTGTGTCCAAGGGGCTAGGGAGCATGCCCTTTGACCTAGTGATGCCACTACTAGGTCTGTATCCCAAAAGATTAAAAAAAAAAAAAAAAGGAAAGGGACCTATATGTACAAAAATATTTATAGCAGCTCTTTTCTGGTGTCAGAGAGTTGGAGGTTGGGGGGATGCTCATCGATTGGGGAATCACTGAACAGGTTGTGCTATGGGATTGTGATAGAATGCTGTTGTTCTGTGAAAAATGATGAGCAGGATGCCCTCAGAAAAACTTGGAAAGATTTGCATGAGCTGACGCAAAGTGAAATGTCCTGTGTACAAAGTAACAGCAGTGCTGCAAGGTGATCAGCTTTGAATGACTTAGCGGTTCTCAGCAATACTGTGATCTAAGACAACTCTAAAGGACTCATGGGAAAGGGTGGTATCCATCCCCAGAGAAAGAACTGATGGTGTCTGAATACAGATCGAAGCGTACTTTTTTTACTTTCTTTATTTTTCTTGAGGGGTTTTTTTGGTGGGGTTTTTTTTGGTCTTTGTTTTCTTTCATATCATGACAGTTATGGAAATGTTTTGCATGACTACACATGTATGACCTATATAGAATTGCTTGCCTTCTCAGTGACAGGGGCTGGGAGGGTAAAAGAGAAAGAATTTGGAATTCAAAATTTTAAAAATGAATGTCAAAAATTGTTTTTACATGTAACTGGGGAAAAAGAAAATACTAAACAGCAACAACAAAATGAGGGGATAAGACTAGGTGATCTTTAGAGTCTTAATGTATTCCTTCTCTATCATGTTAAAGTTATAATCCTGCTGTGTAAATCAGTGATCGTTCAACAGACAGGTGATCCAGAGAAACGTCCTATAACTAAAATGTTGCAACATTGGGTAGTGGTTAAGCAGATGTTAATCCCAGCTAAACCTGGGTGGGGGGGCGAGTAGAGAAGGGAAGGGGTTAGGGAGAAAAGCAGTAAGAGGAGGAGAGAGGAAAGGAGAGAGAGAGAGAGATAACTATTTACTTTTTTTACTTTTAATCTACATTTATTTGACAGTTGACAGCAAATTAGATGACCAAGAAAAAGAAACTTTGAATACTTTTTTTTTATTTAGCCAACTTCCATGAGAGCTATCCGTGCCAGATATGACCCTTTTCTCCAGACGAGGCACCGAATAGACCAGGTAAATATGTTAAAACCTTTTTAAAACCATTTTTTGTCAGTAATAAAAGAATTAAGAGCTTAATAATAAGAGATGGTTGTTTAGCACAGTGCCTGGTACCTGGTAGCAACTTAATAAATGCTTTATTGATTAATTCAAAACGTAACTGGTGAATTTAGGCTAGATCTAGATTAAGAAACAACTGTAGTTTTCCTCTTTTTATAATGGATCATTGATTGACAGGTTAGAGTAGAAGACCTTGTAATACCTATTGACACTTTAGATAAGTGAGAAACACCGTTTCCTTCAAAGGAAGTTGACTTTTTTCATTTCTAAAGGCCCCTAGTGTATTTTACTGCATTTTGTTCCATTTTTCCATGTTACCACCTCTCCACTTTGGCTCCCATGAACTTGATGAAAAATGTAGTATGTTATAGGTAGGCCGACCCTTTCCCTTTGTCCAAACTATGCACATTTTTTTTTGCCCTGGAATTTTGTTTTAATTGTCCTGATATTATTAGTATAAATAATGTGCAAAGATGCAGTATGACATAGCAGGTAGGGAGCCAGTCCTGGACCTAGGAAGGCCTCTGATATATAGGCTTTGTGAACCCAGGCAAATCACTTAACTCCTTAGTGCCTTCAGGCAACTATGAATGAATGAATGAATGAATGAATGATCATTTAGTAAGCATTTACTGCGTGCCAGGCTATGTGTTAAGTGCTAGGGATACAATCAAAAAGCCAAACAGTCTCTGCCCTCACATTCTAACACACATAGTGGAACTAGAGTTTGAAGAAAGGGAAGGCTCATATGCAGTGACTTGATTTGGAGATGTCTGAGAAGTGGCCTAGTGACCTGGTTTTGGGCAAGAGTATGTGAAAATTCACCTCTTAGTGCCCAGGGTCCTAGAAGCAGGATTCTTAGTTCTGGTAGGAGATGAAAGAAGGCTGGAGTGCAGTAAATTGCACTGATAGAAGGAGTTTCCTCTGGTAATTCTCTATACCAGTAAAATCATAGGTCCATTCCCATAACAACAGCAACAAAAAAACAACCAAAAACTACCTTTAAATTTATACAGTTACATACAGGAAGGCAAATTTAATGCTTGATGTAGAACAAAATATATGTGTATATGAAATATTTATACTTCACATATAATCTCAAAACTATACTCAGTAAATAAAACCTGACATTATCCCATATGTACAGCTTTGATGATAGTTATGAAGGACGTTTATGAGTAAGGGTGAAGGCTCAGAACATTGTAATTTGAGAAGCCTAAAGAAAAAATGACCTGAAAACCATCACTTCTCAAGTTGCAAACCTACTGGTAGTTTTACTAGCCCAGATCCAGAAGCTAATTCTCTCCCATCCATTCTTCTCACCCCTTTCCAACACACATAGACCATTGCTGCTTTACTAGGCACTCCCGTTCTCTCTACATGCAGAGAATAGGACATGCTTATTCTAGACCTGCATCAGCAGCCCCAACCAAGATAACAGGTTATACAGGCTACCATATATATATTTTCTAGGTGCAAGGTTTCTTTGAAGGCCAGATCCTATCTACAAATATGCCCTCGAAATCATACTTCTTAGAGCACCTCCTCTGAAGAAACCCTGGAATAGGTTAAGAATAGAGGAAAGAAGAGAGTAGAATAATAATAACTAGCAAGAGGTAGTGTTACTATTCTGTCTCCCACTAATAAATAGGAGGTAGTTATTTTTATGTTTTGTGTTGTTTGTTTTAACCTGAGACAGACAACTATCTAAACCAGTAGTTCTCAAAGTGTAGTCCAGAGATCTTGAGTCCTGAGTCCTTGAGATGCTTTCAAGGGATCCATAAGGTCAAAACTATTTTCAGAACAAATATCAATAGATACGAATAATTTTTGAGAGTATAAAAGGGTCCTGAGACTAAAAAATTTTGAGAACCATAATCTAAAATCCTACTCTTAATTAGCTTAAGCTTTAAGGGTAAAGGAGAGAAATGTTGTCCTTTCTCAGCATCACGTAACTCCAAATGGAGCTGCTTATCATGTGGGTTGTAAAGGGTTCCTTCTTTGGAATTCTCGTAACTGTTTAAAAGGACCGAAAAGAGAACAAAACAGGCCTTTGAGTCATGTATCTGTGGCAAATAAAATTTGAGCACTTTGGGAAACTGTTGCTCTCTGCTTTTATCAAGATTGAAAATTTTGCAAAAAGCTCGTGCAAAGATGAACTTAATGATTTCTGTTCATGAATGGAATCTTTGTTTACTTACTGATGGTTGAATTGTAGTCGATGAAACAGAAAATTGTTCACAGAATTGTCATGTCTAGTTTCTAATTTTTAGCAGGGGAAATAATGCTTCTTTACAGTTTGTCTAGTGATTAAAATAATTTTGCTTTTCATACTTTGCTTTCTGAAAATTGAAAACTAAAACTTCTATAAGTACTTAAGGAACCCTACTTTCTCTTCTGTATCATTGTAATTTACTTTTTAATTTAGCAATTCTTTATTTTTTCCTACCTCTTTAATTTTCCATTGGCATATATTCCTAATTCATGGCATACATACCTGTACTTTTTGTTTTCCACCCTCTTTTTTGACATCCCCTTAGTTTTATCTTAATCAAGTTGTTCATTATTTGCTTAATAATTCCTTTTATCACATTCTAGCTTTTCAATTGCTCTTTCTTTTCACATGTTTGGAGCACTTCTTATTTGAATCAACTCTTTCACAGAATTACGTAAAATGTATATAGATAGTTTCTAATTTTTCAATTCCAGTACTGATGAAACATATCACATTACAAAATCCAGGAATTTAAGGCACAATTGTCATTGTCTTTTATCATACTAGTGAATTTTATTTCTTTCAGTTGAAACAACTGGGTCACAGTGTGGATAAGGTAGAGTTCATTGTGATGGGTGGAACATTTATGGCCCTCTCAGAAGAGTACAGAGATTATTTTATTCGAAATTTGCACGATGCCTTATCTGGACATACTTCAAACAATGTATCTGAAGCAGTCAGGTGAGAGTTCTTCATTTCACAATAGAAATAGTTTTTTCTAAGTGTAGACAGTCATTTTAAATATTTTCAACATCTGGTGCTTAAAGCTCTGTAAGGAAACATTCTTATTGCTTAAAATCTTTTTGCAATGGATTTTGTGCAAGTGAGATTTTGTTGATATATATCCTCTTTTAAAAAAGTAATACGGTCCATTGGTGAAAGGATGTACTTCTTCATCTAACTAATGATATAAAAATATCGTATGAGCTTACTCAAAGTATCCTTCAGATTAGTCTAAACTGCAGAGAGGAGGTGTGTTGCTATCTAGTTGAGGTTCCAAACATCACAAGGTAAAAAAAGGTATATACTTAGAAGGGAATGGAATAAAATGTCAGAACTGAAAGTAACAACCTTAAGAGATTTTTCGCTTAGAAATACTTGGCTACTTCAAATTCAGTGAAAATCATGTTGTTTTGCTTACCTTAAATAGATTTCTGTTTATTTTCAACTCATTTACCATTTATGGATAATAAAGCATAAGAGAATTATATGATTCTCTTAAATGAAGAGATAAGGGCATCTTATGTTGCTTAATAACTCAAACCATTGATTTGCTTTTTCTTGATTGTCTTTTTTAAAACTTGATGACTTTTTGGTTTTTACTCACAATCAATTCTGAATATATATACATATATATATTTTTCCCCCTCTGCCCCTACCCAATGAATTATTCTTGTAAGAAAGACTGCAAAAGAAAGGGGAAGAAGAAGCAGTTGAATGTAACTGAGGTTGATACACATCAACCAAATCTGACAGGTTTTGTAACATTGCATACCCATGGTATTCCACCTCTACAGTAAAGGGAAGGAGGTGCATTTTCTCAGCTCTTTACCAGAGCCAAGCTGGTCATTGTGATTATACATTCAGTTTTGTTTTAGTGTTCTATCTATTTATGTTTTTGTGATTGTGTATGTTTTTTTCCTCCTATCTTTACCTTACTTAATATCATTTCATAAGCTTTCAGTTCTTTGGTACCACAAAAAATACTGCTGTGAAAATTTTGGCGTATAGGACACCTTTCTGGATGTTTTCTGTATTGCCATACTGCTCTTTCCTGGTTCTTCTACCTGAGAACCATTCCTTCTCAGTCTTCTTTGCTAGATTATCATCCTTATCTCACCTTATTACAGAATATGCTCTCTCCTGCTGTCTTAAGCCCTCTTCTCTTCTCTCTACCCTTCTATCTTCCATTAACTCATCATCTCCCATGGGTTCAATTATCACCTCCATGCAGACAACCCTGTTGTATTTATCTGACCCTGGTCTCTTGAGCTTTGATCCTGCATCTCTAGGTGCCTTTTCCATATTTATTCCATGTTTTCCATATTCCTATAAACATATAAAACTAACATTCAGATTAAACTTATCCTTCCCCCCCAAAACCTATGCCTCTTCCCGCCTATCACTATACTTTCAGTCACTCAGGTTTGAAACCTTAGAGTTATCCTTGCCTCTTCACTCTCCCTTATCCTGTATATCCAGTCAGTTGCTAAGTGTTGTTGATTCTACCTTCACAAAAATTCTTACTTTTATTCCCTTCTTTCCATTTCATATGGCCATCACCCGCATCATTTCTCACCTAAATTATTCCAATAGCCTCCTAATTGGTTTCTCTGCCTCCAATCTTTCTTTCCAGTCCATCCTACATGCGGTTGCCAAAATGATATTCCTAAAACACAGGTCTGACCATGTCAGTCCTCTGTTTAATAAACTCCCTAATACCTCTGGGGTCAAATACAAACCCCTCTCTTTGGCATTGAAAACTCCTCATGAGAGCAATTTGGAACTATGCCCAAAGAGCTATAAAACTGTGCATACTCTTTGATCCAACAATACTACTGATAGGTCTATATCCCAAAGATATCCAACAAAAGGGAAAAGGACCTATTTGTACAAAAATATTTATAGCAGTTCTTTTTGTGGTGGCTAAGAATTAGTAATCAAAGTGATTTCCATCAATTGGGGAATGGCTAAACAAGCTGTGTAATATGATTAATGGAATATTATTGTGCTATAAGAAATTATAAGCAAGGTGCTTTAAAAAAAAACCTGGAAAGACTTACATGAATTGATGCATAGTAAAACAACCAGAACCAGGAGAATGTTGTACATGGTAACAACAATATTGTTCAAAGAAGAACTGTGAATGACTTAGCTCTTCTCAGCAATGCAGTGATCCAAGACAATCCCAAAGAACTAATGAAACATACTGTCTGCCTCCAGAGAGAGAACTGATATTGATTGAATACAAACTGAAGCATGCTATTTTTTACTTTCTTTTATTTTTTTCCTTTTATTTGAGTCTTCTTGTACACAATGACTAATATAGAAATATTTTAAATAATTGTACATGTTTATACCAAAACCAAGAACTCATAAACTGGCCCTGACCTACATTTTTGGCATTATTATACGTTATTCCCTCACATGTATTCTTTGGTCCAGCCCTGCTGGCCTTTTTCCTTTCCTCACACATGATACTCCATTTCCTTTTTTTCAAAAAAATATTTTTATTTATTTTGTTAAATATTTTCCAATTGCATGTAGAAAATTAATGATCATTTTCTAAATATTTATTTATTTATTTTTAGTTTTCAGCATTCACTTTTATAAGATTTTGAGTTCTAAATTTCCCCCCCTCCCCAAGAGGGCATACAATCTGATATAGGCTATACATATACACACATATTAAACATATTTCCACATTAGTCATGTTGTGAAAGAAGAATCAGAGCAAAAAGAAAAAACCGGGAGAAAGAAAAAAAAAAGAGAAAATAGTATGCTTCAATTTGCATTCAGACTCCATAGTTCTTTCTCTGATATGGATAGCATTTTCCATCATGAGACTTTTGGAATTGTCTGAGGTCATTGCATTGCTGAGAAGAGCTAAGTCTAACAAGTCGGTCATCGCACATTGTTGCTGTTACTGTGTACAAGGTTCTCCTGGTTCTACTCACTTCACTCAGCATCAGTTCATGCAAGTCTTTCCAGGTTTTTCTGAAATCCACCTGCTTACCATTTCTTATAGCACAATGGTATTCCATTACATTCATATACCAAAATTTGTTCAGCCCATTCTCCAATTGATGGGTATCCCCTCACTTTCCAATTCTTGGCCACCACAAAAAGAGGTGCTATAAATACTTTTGTACATGTGGGTCCTTTTCCCTTTTTTATGATCTTTTTTGTGATACAGACCTAGTAGTGGTATTACTGAATCAAGGTTATGCACAGTTTAAAACCCTTTGAGTATAGCTCCAAATTACTCTCCAGAATGATTGGATCATTTCACAACTCTACCAACAATGCATTAGTGTTCCACTTTTCCCGCATCTTCTCCAATATTTATCATTTTCCTGTTTTGTCATGTTGGCCAGTCTGATAGGTGTGATGTGGTACCTCAGAGATGTTTTGATTTGCATTTCTCTAATCAATAGTGATTTAGAGCATTTTTTTATATGACTATAGATGGCTGTAATTTCTACTTCTGAGAACTACCTATTCATATCCTTTGACCATTTATCAATTGGGGAATGACTTGTATTCTTACAAATTTGACTTAATTCTCTATATATTTTAGAAATGAAGCCCTTATCAGAGGACACTGGTTGTAAAAATTCTTTCCCAATTTTCTGCTTCCTTTCTAATCTTAGTTGTGTTGGCTTTGTTTGTACAAAAACTTTTCAATTTAATGTAATCAAAATTATCCATTTTGCATTCCTAATGTTCTCTATCTCTTGTTTGGTCATGAATTATCTGGTAGGTGAACTATTCCTTGCTCTTCCAGTTTGTATATAGTATAGTATCAGTATATAGTATCATTATATACTGTGTGTGTGTGTGTGTGTGTATATATATATATATATATATATATAAATATAAATATATATATATCATTCTTTTATATCTAAATCATGAGCCCGTTTTGACTTTATTTTGGTATATGGTGTGACATTTTGGTCTACGCCTAATTTCTGCCATACTCTTTTCCAGTTTTCCCAGCAGTTTTTGTCAAATAGTGAGTTATTATCCCAGAAGCTGGGGTCTTTGGGTTTATCAAATAGTAGATTACTATAGTCATTGACTACTGTTTCTTGCATACCTAACCTATTCCACTGATCCACCACTCTGTTTCTTAGCCAGTACCAAATAGTTTTGATATTGCTGCTTTATAATACAATTTAAAATCTGGAACAGCTAGGCTACCTTCTCCTGCATTTCTTTTCATTAGTTCCCTTGATATTCTGGACCTTTTGTTCTTTTTTTTTTTCTTTTTTTTTTTTTTAATGAGGCAATTGGAGTTAAGTGACTTGCCCAGAGTTATGCAGCTAGTGATTGTTATGTTTCTGAGGCCGGATTTAAACTCCGGTCCTCCTGAATCAAGGGCCAGTGCTCTATCCACTGCGCCACCTAGTGGACCTTTTGTTCTTCCAGATGAATTTTGTTATTATTTTTTCTAGTTCTATAAAATAATTTTTTGGTAGTTTGATTGGTATGGCACTGAATAAGTAAATTAATTTAGGTAGAATTGTCATTTTTATTATATTAGCTCAACCTACCCATGAGCAACTAATATTTTTCCAGTTGTTTGGATCTGACTTTATTTGTGTGAAAAGTGTTCTGTAATTGTGTTCATATAGTTCCAGGGTTTGTATTAGCAGGTAAATATTCAAATATTTTCTGTTGTCTACAGTTACTTTAAATGGAATTTCTCTATCTCTTGCTGCTGGGCTTGTTAGTAATATATAGAATTGCCAATGGTTTACGTGGGTTTATTTTATATCCTACAACTTTGCTAAAGTTGTTAATTATTTCAAGTAGTTTTTTAGTTGATTCTCTACGATTCTCTAAGTATACCATCATGTCATCTGAAAAGAGTGATAGCTTTTTCCTTCATTGCCTGTTCTAATTCCTTTGATTTCTTTTTCTTCTCTTATTGCTAAAGCTAACATTTCTAGTAT